TAAGTGTTGGGATACAACCTATGTGAAGCCCGCTTTCCCCAGCTTCTGTCAAAGAAAAAGGATAAAGCTGAGAAGGAGGACAAAAAGTTATCTAAAACTGCAGTTGCTGCGGTTTTGGGAGGCTGGACAGGTGCTCCTGGTGCCAGGGAGACCGTGTCTATCAGCTGGTGAACTGGAGCATCAGAGCTTGCCTTGCTCAGGTCATGGAGTGCAGGCTTGTGGTGCTGCTTCCTGCCATCGCTGCCCACCATTCCCAGCTGAACTGCCACAGCTGGCTAGGGAGATGCTGTGGACCAGGTCAGGAAATTTGGTAAACATTGCATGTTGAAAAGGGAATAATAAAAAAAAAAAGCCCTGTTATCTCCCTGGTGGTGTTGAAGGTGAGGATTCAAGCTGTGGGCCTGCAGTGGCCCAGGAGTGGTGCTGCAAGACTGTCTGCAAAATATTTTGGAGTGTCAATGCATAACCTTGGTGATGTGGAAGGCACTTTCAGAGTAACAAAAGCTCAGAAGGGATCTGTCATCAACAAGAGCACTCATTGAATATCGGAGATCTGTGAGTAAACAGGATGGAAATTTGGATTTGCTTTGATCTGTTACCTGCTGTGTTGTCTAAAAGAGGGAACAGTTTAAAAATCCCTCAGCCAAGTTTTGTTTGCCTCAGCCAGGGTGTGTGTCCATCCTTGAGTTAAACAACTGTTCTAGCTCATCGTTTTCAAACCTGTCATGTGCATCCTGTCCTGAGGTGATGTGCCTTGAGTTGGGAGTCGCCTCCATGGGCTGGCAGAACCTCTGGTGCTGGGGCAGCAATGCATCCTTCCTCCAGCCCCTGTAGGAGGTGGCTGAAGGCGCTGGTTGGACGCTGTGCTTTTGAGGTTGAAGGTGTTTAGTAGAAAAATCGGGGAGAAATGGGTGTATGTGTGGTCTAGTGCAGCACTGGGAGCCTCTGCCTGTGGTGATGGTAGCCAAGCCAGTCTAGGAAGCATTGGCTAGGTTCAGAAATGTTAAGGCTGGTTTGCTGGGAGACATTTTTGTATTCTTATGCTCTGCCCTGGGCATTTGCTGTTGGAAGTGATAAGATTTGCCTGGAAGCTGAACAGGCAAGAACGTGACAGGCTTGTGCCCTGCTTGGACAGTGGCTGGGGTGGAAGCTGCGTGGGACAGCCTTTGTATCGGCTCTTACAACTTACCTATTAGAACAGTTGCCAGCTCTACACTTTTCATTTAAGGATAGGATTAATGGCTTTCTGTATCATAGTAATCAAGATTTTTTGTTAAAGTCTGGATTGCAGCTGAGCTTTTAATTTGATTGTATTTCTGTCAAATACTTGGCTATCTTTGTGTTGAGACTGTTAATTCATGGTTTCTCTTTCTTGACAGATACTGCAGCAATACATGCTTTGGCGTGTTCCTCGCAGCTTCCACTTGATCCTTGTCTAGAAGACAGTCAGATGAAAAGTTTGCAGCTGCTCCTTGTCTTTTTGGGCAGAGTAAGAGAACAGTGAGCTGGGCAGGTTTTACAGCGAGGGTCAGTGACTGTCTTCGTTTCTGCTGTGTGACCCAGCCCATGAAAGACTTGCTTATCCTTCGCTCCTCTAAAAGATTTGGAAGGCAGTGGTAATGGTGGTGGCGCAATCCCGTACAAAGGGATGAGGAATGACATCTCCCTGCACTGCAGGTGAAATGGCAGCTGAAGAGCAGCTCATGATGGTGAACACTACTAGTAGTGACCTGCCCTTTGCATGTCCTGCATAGGGTTTCTTTCTTCATCTGTTGAGGATGCCGGAAGGCACCTGAAAGGCATGTAAAGCAGTCCATGTATTTATGGTCTGTTTACAGGAGAGTTAACTACTTCTACTCAGTCTGTGCTCTACCTGCAAGGTTTTAGCTGCTTGGGACTTGCTGGTTTGGGGCTCTTTGCATTAAGAAAAACTACAGTTCCCATCCATTTAGCTAGATGACTGCAGTCTTTTGTGTTTTCTTGTATTTCATGTTGGAGAAAATAAAATAAATGGAAGGTTGTTCTGTTCAGGAGAGCATGCTGTGAAAAACTTACAGACTTTCTGAAAGACTACCTTCAGGTAGGCAAATCTCATACAATTTCTGGTCATTTTCAAGCTACTTCTCTCAAAACACTCCTTTCAGGTTTGTGGTAGATACTACAAGAATTTCGTACTTGTCAAAGCACTGATGTCTCAAGGGTAGAATCAAAGAAGAGTTGACAGCAGGCTTGGGGCCATTTCTCCTGAGAGAGAAGTTATCTAATTTCAATTCTTATAGTCAAGGAAAAGAAAATAAAGGTTTGGCTCCCATTAATAATTAAAAACTATCTAAACACAGTTACTTATAACTCCTCCAGTGAATTGTTTATTGTTGTAACACAGCAAACATAAGCAGCACTATAAACCTAATAGTATTTCTTCCTAGTTAAAGAAAAATAGTTCTTCATGTTCTTATAGTGACAGCATCCCATAAAGTATAGCAGGAGGACTGGGTGAAATTCAGAACCCAGAGTGTAGCAGGTCCTGGCACCTCTGCTCCAACATAACTCAGCCTTTCAGAAGCACCTGGATGGCGCTGACTTGGGAACCGTAGGGCCTTTGCTTGAGTCAAGTAGTTCTGTTACAGATGGGCTTGCTACCAGGGACCATCCTACAAAAAGCTTGCTTTTGGTATGGAACTGTAATGCTGGTCTAGGTGAGACAATTTAAACCTGAATTTAGTACCATGCTTACAGATGCTGTATAGATTGATTTGTGATTCCAGTGTTACACTGGGAGTCTCGATTGGAGTCGAGTGTCTGCTGCCTTCCCATGCTGCGTGCTGCATCTTGGATCTCGCTGTGAGAAAATGATGTTGCGTGGGTCAGTTTTTAGGAGGTGCATTGCAACAAATGAACACTTTCCACCAAACAAAAGGAATGTCTTCATTGGAAATTACAGTAGTCCTCTTTATCCTAAGGCAAGATCTAGGACATGCTGTCACAGTCCTTCTCATGGTTTTAGTACAATTGTTCAGCCTGTCTGGAAAGAATAAGGAATCTCTGGTGAGGTATGTTCTGTTTCTAGCTGGATCAGTCTGCAGTGAGAGATCCTGGTGTATCAGATTCTGTCTGATGGTTGGGTGGGGTTTAATGGTAATTTTGTCCTTTTGGTGTTTATGTACTCACTTGAAAATGAAGAGTAAGGTTTATAACTGAAGGGAAGATAGAAAGGATTTGAATGACATGTAAAGTACTATCACTTCTTAAAGTTTGAGAAGGGAGTGTAGTGAATCTTTGAAGCTTGTGGGACATATAGCTCTTTTTGAAATGAGTTAGCCAAGGGGTCTGGTTTTGTGTTTCTGAAATACTGTTCAGTTTGGTAAGGTGTATTTTTATATGTGAGAAATAAGAAAGTATTTTGGTCACATTATTACTTTTGTTTGAAAAATATTTGGAGATATAGTGGTGTTGGAGCATCATATTTGACTTTGGCTCGTATGATCTTCGAGTAAGCAAGAGGCATGAAATCAATTCATGCTATGCAGTCCTGAGATATATGCCTTTAGGATCAAAGAGGCAATGCTATCTTCATATTTGAAAGTTCAGGGAACAAATATTGTTCCTTGTCCTTGGAGTACTTTGGGGTTGGGTTTTTTGCTTCACTATCCCTTGAAGCACACTTCTTACAACTTCATGCCTTGCCACATGGAAGATTCATTGCAGAGCAAATACTCTCATGGTAGACAGGAGACTTCTGAGATTTTGAAAAATAAATTCATGAGGCTTTTCTCCAGAACTATGCTATTTCTGTCTTGCAAATAACTGTCCGGTGAGCTTATGGTGCAACTTAATGAGCAGAAAGTGAATGTTTCCAGAACCACTCTGAAATGTAGTAGATGGCTTGTCTAATGCCCATCTGTGGTAGGAGGCATCAGAACTATGCTGTACATTCTCCTCTAAGGTACTGCTGTTTTAGCCATGAGCTGATCATACAAAATATCAGATAAAACAAGGAGTAGTATTTTATTTGACCAGTGAGTGTGATGGGGAGCAAGGGGGAAAGGCAATAGGATCAGACACCTACTTTTCCATGTTTCTTACGTGGCTTAAAGCTTGCTGGTTTTTTTTCTCTGCTTTCAATTTTAGTTGTTCAGGTAAGAGATTTAGTTAAAAGCAATGATTTGAGCACTGGGAGTGTCTGAAAGGCCATACTTAGCCAGTCCAGACTAGTTTGCTGTCTCCATGAGTGTCTGTGAGCAAATGCTTTCAGAAAATGCCAGAGCATGTACAGAGTGACATTGACCTGGGCGTATTCTTCCAGTTTCAAGAGACTTGTTGTTCGTTAATTTCAGAGCTGTTGATGGATCTGGTTTTGTATCTGTTTATATTTCTGGCCTTTGTAGCATTGCATGGGTATGTGGTTGAAATTCCAACTTTTATCCAGTTACTTGATAATTTCACTCTGCTTTAAACCTTTTGTTTGCTAAATAATGAATTCCATTAATTCCATTCCTGTATACATTTCCATCACTTGTTTTCCAAGTTTCTAGTATCGTTTTGCAAAGAAGAGCAAGAAGGGTAGAGTCCAATGCTATTCTGAGAAGGGATGCCGAGTTCAGGATTACAGAGCACTGCTTTCTGTCATAGCATGTTCACTGTATATTTAAGTGTGCGTCTAGGTGGTGGGTTACTAACAAGTTAAGTATAAAAATAAGTGGTCTTTTGTACATGGTGTTGTTTGAATGAAGTGTGTGATAATACAACAGTTAGGGCTTGATGGAGCAGTTAAAGCTTATAGGTCTGTAACCATGTAAAAATATCAGTGTATATTACAAATTTGAAATTCAGTATATATGAAATTCGGTCTATAACTTGATGCAAAAACACTTTTCTTCATAAACTTGATTTTGAGCTGCCTCTCCCCTCTCTGTCATCTACAGCATCTGTGATTCTGTTATCAGATAAGTAAATTGTATAATTTTTACAGCTTCAAGAAACATAGAAACACGTGAGAGAAGATGACAAGATCTAGATCAAGATCACCACGATGGAAACCAAGGTAAATATTTATCTATACCTTGTGTTCTGAAATGTAGCTCTGTATAAGAATTTATAATTAGGATTTAAAACTTGCATGAAAGAAAGAAACTTGCATCTAGAATTGCAATTTGCAAAGTGTATTTTATAAATTACAGGTTTTTTTCTAAACTGAAAAAATTCTGCTTTTTTTTTTCCCCAGCTTGCGTTTTTTTTTAAACTGGACGTATTAGGGTTTTGTTATCTGCCAAGAACCTCGTTCAACTTGTATAATTTGGGACTTGGAACTACCTTAAGCACAAAACCCAAGCACCAAAGTAGTTCAGGTTATTTTTACTCAAACACCACCTGGTGCACTCAGTGTCTGTAACTCACTCCTGTTTTGTCCTGTGCTCTACAAGGAGGATCAGGTTGACTGTTAAAAAAATTACTTCTGAACTGAAACACCCTGAGCTTTCTGAGCCTTTGGGGCTGATCTGTACGTTGATCTTTAGCACAGTTAATATGCCTTGCAGTATAAAGCAAACTGAAAACATGGGAGTCAGTGCCCTTTTTGGGTACTAGCCCAGTAGCATATGTCATTGATGTATGTCACCAGAATAACACCCTGGTTACTTCATGATGTTAGTTACCTGCCTCACTTCTAGGATGTGCAATGCAAACTCGAGATGTTAAAACTAGGAGGCTGGAATGTAGGTGAAAATTACTCTTGAATTAAGCTTTCAAGAGCTATTAGTGTGCAACGTGAAACTAATTTTTTTTCTGGTTTTGAGTTGTTTTTCTAAACAGACTAATTAAGCTGTGACCAACACCTAAGGGAGTTTGTTGAATACCATAGAAAGACTTGTGGGTTTTTGTTTGTTTGTTTGTTTTTTAAAAAAAAAGCGAAATCCTATCTAGTTCTGTACTAGATTGATAGCTGTGAATGTGTCCTTTTAGCGAAGGGCAGGGAGGAATGCCTCAGCTCTTGTGGAAATGCAAGCCTTAACCAGAACCACATGGGACAGCAACAGAGTAGTGTGGGTGCTATTGGATGTTAGCCAGTATAGGTGTATGAAGATCAGTGGTTCTGAGTTTGAACTCACTTGCAGAAGTGGAGCAAATAATTATGCCAAATTATACACTTGCAATATGTGTGCAAAGGCAGTTACTTCCTTGAATTTTTTCAACTTAATATTTCTGGATGCTTTTATGAGAGTCTGTTGAGAGTGTAGAGTGAATACTTGAATACAGGCAGAACTGTTATGCCTGGGATTACTTTCTGGTTCTTACTAGTGGCTTGTACTATGCTTGCTTTATTTAAGGAGATTTTTGGCTCAAAACTCTTAACAGGTTGCTTTTGTTTTTGTAACCGTAGGTGAAAGTGCAAAGCTGAGGGATGCAGTTGAGTGGATCTTAGCAACTAAGGCTTTAACAGCAGAAGCTGCAGTATGTGTGGAAGTGCACATGTATCCGTGTGCATACATTTATGTGCATTTACACACAACTATACAAAAAGACCAAAATGTCTTTTTCAAACTCAGTCTTTTCTGCAGGAAGAAAACGTACCTGTGTGACGTTTTAAATAGGACTTTTTGGGTTGTTTTGGCATGCAAAGAAAATCTGAAAAGTTTTTTTTGCCCTTTTCCCCCTTGCATTTAATTTATACACTTTTTTCCCCGTCCTTTCTTTTTCTCTTGGCACTGAGTAGATAGGGAATACTTGAAGTGTGAAAATGTGTATAACAGTTGTTTCCAATGTAGTGGAAGCTTCATATATGTGAAATTATTTTTAGTTTTAAGTGAAAAATGCAAAGAGAAAAGTGATTGACTTGCTACTATTGGAGTGGGTATTTTTGCTATGAAAACTTTGAATAAAGTAAAAGTAAACTTGGTATTCTAGCCAGGCAAATGGCACTTTGAATTTATTGTCTTGTTTTTCTTTTTTTACCAGTTGATTAAAATTGTGTAGTAAACTATACTTCCTTAGGGAATAGATATTCTCAGTAAGAGGTTGATTCAGTTTTATGGGGCTGCTCAAAGTGGATTCTGTTTTTGCCTTAGGTCCTTATCTCCAGCATTTAGAAGTCCAGAGCACCATAGGCAAAGGCATGCTCATATTAATTATGACTGTGAATACAAAAGCTTTCGTAAGGACCCAAAGAAACCTATGCCTTGGAGAACAGAAGATGAAAACTACGGACAAAGCAATTCCAGGTTTGCACCTCATAGAAATAACCGCCAGAGAATATATGAACGTAGATCACCTTCACCAAACCTGAAAAGAATTCCCATGGAAGATACTTACAGTCATAAGCCCTACCGAACACACTCGTCTGAAAGAACTGAAAGCAATAGGAGATGCCAGTTACCACCAAAATACTCGGAAGTACCATACAAAGAGCACGACCGTCCGTTTTACCAACACAAAATGGAAGACAGATACATGTTTGAGTACTACAAAGTCACTGGAAATGAAAAAGGAATGAAACCTTTTCATAGACCATTAGGGGCTTCATGTAAACTTGAAAGAAAATGGCACGAAGATGACTTGAGGCACCAGAGGTTACATGAAGAGAAGTATGGTCAGTCACCCAGAAGAGTTTCTGATGAATTTACGGCAAGGAGCTCTTTACAGAAGAGGTATAGGAATAAAATAATTAAAACCTGGGTATTGTGGTGTAAAGCCTCAAGTGAAAGTCTGTTTTCATTATAGTTGAAGATATCCACCTTGAAACACGTTGGCCACTTTGTAGTTTAATTATGGGCGACTGGTAGTAGTGACGTATTTGTCTTTTAAGTAAATCGTATTGATGGCTAGATATGAAAGGATAATGTTTCCCTCTTAAGAGCCCCTGCACATCTGTACCTTGGAGTGAGGGATTGTGGGTTAACTTGCCACGCATTCTACTGTCCAACATTCTGCACATATAAGTTCTCGCTTTCTTCTCTAGTGCAAGTGTAAATTGCTTTATGTCAACACAGGTATCCTGAAGATCACGATTACAGAGAGTATGGGCACGCGTCTAAAAGGGCTAAAGAAATGGAGAGGTATGACAGTGGAGAAGTGGCAAGGAATTCCACGTGGAAGCAAGAACGTTCTTTTCCACCCTACCAAGAAAAGGAGGAGCAAAGAAATCTGGGTGCCCAGTCCCACCGATCGGCAGAAAGGGAGTACTCAGAGGGTTCTGTCACAAAGATAGCCTATGAGTACAGTCACAAACGGCGCAGGCATCCGGAGGGGGAGAAGCCTTTTTCAGATGATAGAGCTCAGAAGTACATGACGCAGGAAGACCAGAAATACAGTTCTTCTAAGGGTGCCCGGAATAGCAAAGAATTGGATTACTTCAGCGGTGGAAGAGCGAGACGGACTGAAGAAGGGCACGTCGAGGTACCTGTGAAATACAGTTCAAAGAAGGGCTGCGATGCTTGTGTTAACTCTTCCCAAACGGATATTGATCTGAGGTCTTTTAAGAACAAACCGAAGGAAAGAGTAAGGAAGGAAGGGGAATTCAGGAAAAAAGTAGATTCCTCCGATAGCCAGCATGAGTCAAGTCATACTGTTTCAGATGGGAAAATGTCAGATGTCAACTGTAGGAGGGAGCATCTCACAATCAAAGTGGATATGAAGAAAATGGTGACCAAGTACAGGTATTGGTTTCCACCCTCTCTCTTCTTTCTTCCTGTCTCTTTTCAGTTTATGAATATTGGAGGAAAGCTCAGTTTCTTTAGGAAGTAACCAGGACAAACTAAGGGTATACCTTTTTGATTTTATTTTGTTTAAAACGTTAACTTGCCCAGACTGGAAACTTACAGCCCACCTCTATTAAAAAAAAAACAAAGAAAAACCCCCTAGTTCATTTCAAGGAGATGTAGTAGCAGGTGGAAAGAGCATATATGCCTGATACAAATCTGTAGTTAAAAGTTGCTTATGATAAGTAACTGTGTTACTTTTATTTAAAAACAAAAGCACTAAAGCAGAAAAGCCTTGTCGTATGCTTTCTTCTGGAATATGATGGCATTTTTTTGACTGAATCATTCCTCATTTCTTCTAAAAACCAGATAACCTTTGAATTGCATAAATCTCAGGCACGTATTCAGATGTTCAATATCTCAAGTTCAAGAAAACTGTCAAAAAATTAGAGATCCCTGGGTTATATTATTTATTGTTGTAACAAATGAAGCGGCAATCTGTTGAGGCATCAGAACTGAAAAAGCAGTGAAGTCTGCTTCTGTGTGTCTTCTGTATAATACTTGTGGTTGCCTTTAGCATTCCCAGTGTTGGCTGAATTGGAAAAAATGGTGGTAATATGAAAATCTAGAGCGTGGATACACGGTAAAGAGTAAGCAGCTTGGTTTATGTAGATTTTTGCAGGCTTTTCTGGTTTATTGCCTTGCTGTTGCAGGGGAGAATGTAATTTAATGGCAGTAATCCCTTTTGGAAGGGATTACCTTCCCTTCCAATGTAATCTGCCTTCATTTTAAAGGTATTTTGCCTCTTGTCCCAAATAAATAAAACATTTCCCTTTCAAATATTTCAGAAACATGTAATACATTGGAGAGTTACAAAGACAAGATAGTAACTGTACGTAAGGGGCTAATACTAAAGACTGAGGAACAGGAAGTAATGTGCTGCTTCCCCCCACCCCCTTTCCCGGGCTAGGACAAGCATTTAAGTTCCTGAATGATAACGTAAGGAAAACAACTTAATTATTGTGGAGCTTTGTTGCAAGCCCACAGGGTGATTCCTGTATCTGGTAGCCTCTTGCTGCTGTTTTTGAAGGTCATGCACAATGGACGTGGTAATTGTTTGCAGACTGGGGAAACTACTACACTGATTGCAGCTAATTTCATGTCTGGCAGGTTTGCTTCTGCAGCCAAAAGTGCTAAATATTTTATTTTTTTTAAAGATGAGAACACTAATTTTGCAGAAGCTGATGACTGGGAATATTCATGCTGCCTACTGTAGGCATTTAACAAACACCTGACTTGAAATGACTCAGCTGAGAATAATACTTTATAAACCTGGGGAGCAGGTAGATAATTCAGATTGTCTACGGTTGAGATTGTCTGGATTCCCTCTTGCATGTTCTTATGTCCAGTTTACTGGAGGCAAAGGGATGACTTCTGGCACCTGCTAGAGGCTACTTCTGATTAGTCTTGTATGCTTCAAATACGGGATGGGCAGGCATACAATCAGTGTGCAGAATGCGCAGTGAACAGAGTCTTTGTCCTCAAAGCTTTTACATGGGCTGTTTGAGTCCTCTATTTATCTTTCCAAATGATGAGCATTTTCCTTGCAACAAGAACAGCAGGATTTTTAAAGTGTTAGCTTTCTTGTCAAAATAACTCTTAAGCAGCAGTGCAACCATGTGGGGCATAAATTTACTTAGGACGAGTAAAATTTGACAGAAAGATGCTAAGCACATTCTTAAGTTCACACACTGCCACTGGAAATCTGTTTCACTGGGCTGAAGTGATGATTTGGTTCCCAATGACGCTGTGAGATTCTTAAATCTCTGAGCTGTTCTTGGAAATTGGTAGCTCCTTATAAACAAAGAGACACACATAATCGCTTTACAGAATTGCACTCATCAAGTATATCAGGATCTTCATTTGCCTGTTTGATGAATTAAGTTTAAAATTCACAAATCTTGTATTACTTACTTGTCATGGTTTAGGGCTGGGCCGGTCACTA